CGTGAGACCACTACCAGAACAGTACGACTCCAAAAGAACAAGCAACATAGAGGTCCATACCTGGAACCTCAACACGCCACTCCTTGGAGCAAGAGTACTTCCAGAGAAGAAGCAAAGACAACGACCACAGCTAAGCATCCTGCCCCCTGTTGCCGAGGAAGAACGCGAACAGCTCGAGAACGACGAGGCCGCTAGCGACCCTCCGAGTTCGGAGGACAGCAGTGAAGAGCAGCAACGAGCACTTGAAGACAGAGAGGAACAAAGTGAAGCCAGCAGCATGAGTGTGACGAGAGACAGGAAAAGAAGAGCTGAAGTTGATGACGAGACCCTTTTGGAAGAACTCAGAGCAGTTGAACCACTTACAGCCTCAGCAGAAGCACTTTCAGCACCAGCTGAACCAAGAGCAGAAGCAAGCAAGCACAGCCTTGAGCCTGAGGAACCAAGCTCACCCAGCAAGCTACGAAAGCAAGTTAACAGAGCAGAGGAAACAGACGGTTACCTCAACATGCCTCATGATGATGAAGTCTACGAAGCAGATGATGAGTTTGTGTACGAGTCGGAAGAAGAAGAAGAGGAGACAGAGAGTGAACCAACGGAAGTTTCTACCAAGGTCCCTGTCGAGTTCTTCGACGAGGAGAAAGGACCACCGAACGTGGATCCGGCTTTTCTTCAGAAGTTGGATGATGAAGCTACAGTCAAGGAAATCAAGAGGTTAACAAAGATGGGAGTTATTTCGTTGGTTTCTACGGACCCTCAGGAAGCAACTGAGAACGTACCTCTGGTAGATTCAGAGCAAGAACTTCACAAGTGGTTGACAACGAAGTTGGTGAAAGATTGGAGGTTCAGAGAAGCTACAGGTTTTGAAGCTGAAGAAGCCAAAGAAGGAACAACAAAGCCCAAGCAGATTCAAAGATGCTGGCAACGACGTGCCAGACTAGTAGCCAGAGAATACAAGACAGAAGGAAAAAGGGAAGATATATTTTCTCCTGCGACAAGCCCAGGAATTACAAAACTGGTGCCCATGTTGGCTCTCGCCAACCATTGGGCGATCTACAGTGTCGACGTGAAGGACGCGTTTTTACAAGTCCCTCAAAGAACACCTTGTTTGTGTCGAGTACCTGAAGAAGCAGCTCACGTCGTACAAGCAATGCAGGAACAACAAGAACGCAACCCTGGAACTTGGTGTTGGAAGTTAGAAAGAGTTTTGCCAGGTCAACGCGACGCATCCAGTCTTTGGTCAGACTTTTGTGATGGTCTTTTGGTGGAAGAGAAGTTTGAGCGTTGTACAGCAGTTCCAGCACTTTACCGTCTTCTACGACAAGGAAAAGTGGTTGCAGTTTGCATTGTGCACGTAGATGACTTGCAGTTTGCAGGAAAGAAGGAAGTCATCGAACCAATCCTCAGGAACCTCAAGAAGAAAGTGAACCTACAAGTTGAAGGACCTCTTCTGAACGAGGAAGACTACGAGAAAGGATTTTCTGAGGAGACCGTGAAGTTTCTCAAAAGGAAGTACACGTACGAACAACATGAACTACGAGTACATAGCGATAGCAAGTACGTGAAGAAACTCGTGGAGATCCTCAAGCTGGAGAAGAAGAAGGCCAAGAACTCACCCTGCACACCGGCTAGTCAGGAACCTGACGTATCCCAAGAACTGGACGAGGAACACTCGAGAACGTACAGAAGTTGTGTCGGCATTTTGCTGTACGTAGCGCACGACCGTCCGGACATTCAGTTCGCAGTACGTAGCCTCAGTACTGCCATGACGAAGCCAACGGAACGTAAAAGAAAGGAGTTGGAGCACTTGGCGCTCTACCTCAAAGGAACGTCAGACTACGCCGTTACGTACCACAGGAACAGCCCAGGAACGTCAGCTCTACGTCACCGCGCCGAAGAACCACAAGAACTACAAGAACCTCGAGAACAACCACGCGAACGTTTGCTGGAAGTTTTTAGCGACTCCGACTGGGCCGGAGACAAGCAGACTAGGAAGTCAGTGAGTTGCGCCATGTTCTACCTGGACGGTGCATACTTCTACAGCTACAGCAGGACACAGAAGTCGATAGCATTATCTTCAGCAGAAGCAGAATACATGGCACTTACTGGAGCAGCAAGCGAAGGAATAGGTTTACACGCAGCAGTTCGTTTCCTTACAGGAGAACGAGTACTACTCAAAGCATACACAGACGGTTCCGCATGCCGCGGAATTACAAACCGCCAAGGAACAGGAAGAGTCAAGCACTTGCAGATTCGGTTACTTTGGCTACAAGCAGCAATACGCGAAGGCAAGCTTACTGTACACGCAGTCGGTACAAAGGAGAACACAGCAGACCTAGGAACAAAGCCTCTCAGCACGAAAGGAGTGAAGTTTCTCCTGAACATGATCGGCATGTGCAACAGCGAAGGAAGAGTTGGAGAGCAAGAGCGAGAGGAAGAAGAAAAGGCACAAGTGGTGAGAAGACTCGAGAAGATCATGAAGAACAAAAGCAGCATGTTGTTTGCACTTTCGAGTTTGTTTGGAAAGACTGAGGCAGCCTACGTACCTTTCGCCGCAGCTCAAGAAGTAGCAAGCCCACAAGAAGTCCCAAGCAGTCCTGGAAGCATGTCGCTTCTGGAAGTCCTGGTGACGCTCGCCATGGTGTGCGTGGCGGCATGGTTTGTCGTGAACGAGATGAGAAAGCCACAGCAGCACAAGAAGCCGAAGAGAGAAGAGAGGAGCAGCGGTGAAGAAGAGGAAAGCAGCTCAGGAAGCAGAAGTGGAGAGAAGGAAAAGAAGAAGAAGAACCGAAGGAAGAAAAGAGACGAAGCTCCTGCCGCTCAGGTGAACTACGACGTGGACTCCTTCGACGAGGCAAAGAAAGAAGTGACAGAGAGAGCAGAGAAGTTGAAGAAAGTTGAGGAAAGCCTGGAGAAGGAAAAGGAGCAGTTCGGAAACCAAAAGACAGAGTTTGAGGAGACAGTGAAAAGGTTTTTGAAGAAGCAGAAGGAGGTGAAGGAAAAGGAAGACAAAGTTACAGAAAGAGAAGAGAAGTTAGAGAAAGACCAAGAGACCCTCCAAGAACAAGCCAAGGTCTTAAGCGAGAAGGAGACAGCCCTCGAAGAAGCTGAGGAGAACGTCAAAGCAAAGGAAGCAGAGGTTGAAAAGAAGAAGAAAGAGGCAGAGAAGAGAGAGAGAAAAGCCCAGGAAAGAACCGCCGGCTACGACCAGGAGAGAGAAGAGTACGCCAAGAAGTACGTTGACGACGCAAAGAAGGACTTGGAGAGAGAGCTTAAAGTGCTAAAGCAAGAAGAGAAAGTAAGGAACCAGAAGCTCGACGACCTCCAGTACGACTACAAGAGCCTCAAGGACGACTACCAGTACTTCAAAGGTTACTCACAGGAAGTGGACGCACTTCTACTTGCAGCTAAGGACAAGATCGTGAAGTACAAGAAGAAGGTCAAAAGCCTCAAGGAAACCATAGGTGCAGCCCTGTCTGGAAGCGAAGGTGAAGAAGAGACAGAAGAAGCGTACAAGAGCAAAGCAGAAGAAGAGAAAGAGAGGAAAGAGGCGCAGGCAAAAGAGGAAGAGAAGAAGAAAGGAAAAAGGCCAAAGCAGGTAGAGACAGAAGACCAAGAAGAGAAGCCGTCAAGCAACCAAGGAGACGAAACTACCGTCGACCCGAACGACATAGCCGAGTTCACGCAGCTTGGCTACGTGTGGGAGTTTAACAAGAAGACGCAAGAGTACCGCGCGAAGTGTGAGGACAAGAAAGGAGCCCCAAGAATCAAGAACGCTCCGGTGAAAGGTCGCCTCCTTTGGAACAAGGTGACGGAGTGCTACAGGAAACACAACATTTGGTTTACAGACGGAAAGGAATTGGATAAATTCCTCGAGACCAAGGAGAACGAGAAGATCGAGGAAGAGGTGCAGCGACGCATCCACGCGAAAGGCAAGCACGACAACCAAGGAACGAAGGGAAAAGGCCCTTCCTGGGACGACGGACACAACGACGGTTGGTGGTACAACGACCAGTGGAACAACGAGAACTGGAGCACCACCGACGACGGCAGCAACTGGTACGAGAACGCGAACCCCCAGAACAAAGGCTACTGGCAGACGCCTGAAGAGTGGGCGCAGCAGAACCAGTGGGACCAGTGGACACCCAAAGGAAAGGGTAAAGGCAAGAAGTCCAAGAACTGGGTGCAGACCCAGTGAAAGGATCCCGAGAAGGGATGATCGAGCAGGTCAAGCAGTGAACGCTTGTACATATGTACATAGCTAAGCAACGTAAGACTTGATGTATACTAGCACAAGAATTCATGTACAAAGTGTGAGCAAATGTATAGACGTAGCAAACTGGGGCAGTAAGCCTAGGTAAGCTACAACCTTCCAAAGTCTCACAAGAAGTTTCACAAAAGGCAGGCTAGGAAGGTACAAGGGCCAGAAGAGGCAAGAAGCCGGAGAAGCCAAGAACAAAGAGAAGAAGCCCGAAAGAAGAAAAGCCCGTAGGCTACGTAAGGGCAGAAGGAAACCGGGGTACGGGCCTCCCCGCAAAGAGTCCATAGGCTGGACCTAACTAGAACGTAGCTGTACATACAGAGTAGGTTTTTCAAGAAGGCCAATGTACAGACATAGAAGGCCTAAGTAGCAACAGGGCAGGAGTGCAGCTAGGTAAAAGACCAAGAACAACGGAGACGAAAGTCCCTAGCAAAAGCACTGTACAGAAAGCCCTAGCAGTTTCCAAGAACACCCTAGGAACCCGCAAGAACTTTCTGAGGCGGGGTGTTCGTTTGTAACCTAGTGCACGTAGTCCCAAGTAGAGTGTGTAGAGTAATCACGAGAACACATGAAACATGTGTGTGAACCGCGACACGAAGGCTTAAGCAAGTCAGCCCGCGAAGTGAGAAAAGTGTGTTTGCGAGTAGAGTGGGAAGGAAGGCTTGAGAAGCCTTTAGTTTCAACAGTTTCCTCGTGCGTTTCTGCAGTGCCCAGCTTGCACGTTAGTCCATCTCGATCTGAGGTACTCCACAGAACCGCATTTGGGCTACGCCCCTACGACACGGGACGCCGTTCCGTACTACTGCGCTGCTTGATGAAGCAAGTTCAGCTGCGCGGCTGCGCAGAGCTTGTTCAGAGCAGCTTTGTGTTTCGAAGGTTTTTGTTTCTGCCGACATCCTGGCCAAGATGCGAGAGTTCGAGTGGATTGACGACCTCACTCGCGACGTGTTTGTGGCAAGCTTCATTTACTTCCCTAATGCTGACGCCATCTCGTTGCCGCTTGATTGGTTTCAGCATCTTTCATGCTAGCAGCATCCTTTTTGCACGGTAGAGACAATTAGCCGCTTGAAAGATGCACTTCTAAGCAGTCTTGCCGTGACATCCTTGGCAGTGTCAAACTTCATGGCTTGATTGTTTCCTTTCGCGAGTTTCTCTTCTCAGACCGTCCTACGCTCAGGATGAGGTTGGACTTCTACTTCTCAAACACAGGTCGAATCATTTCAGACAGAAGCATCAACACGCACAGTGTCTTGCAGGCCTGCTGGTGCTTGTGAGTGTCCGGCACCCTGGGTACACATCTTCACCAAATCTGCAATGCCGAAACAAGAGAAATGGCTGTAACGGAGGGGCAAGGGACGGCATCGGAAGATGGATGCGAGAGGATGTCTTGAATCGACTCGTGTGTTCTAGGCTCTCGGACAGACCGTTTAAATAGCGGAGGGAGGACAGCCACAGCATCTTTACGAGCCGTTCTCTAAGACTCGCTCTCTGAAGCTGCATGTAGCTTCGATGAGACAGCAGCAGACTCCAACAGTCTGAAGTGGAGAGGACGCGCCGCGCTGGACGACGTACTTGGTCCTTCAGTGCCTGAGAAAGCAGTGGCTGGTATTTGGATGCCTGAAGTGTGGAGATGTAGAAAACGCTGTTTGGCGTGTGATCGAGCGGAGATTGCGGCCTAATTACGTGTCATGTCAGTCAGCAATCGCCTTATCATCTTGCGTGTTTGCCAGGGGTGCATTCATTACTCAAAAGTGACAGAGGATACTTGATGTGGAAGCCGTGTAGCTTCCAGTTGTGCTGTCTCATGGCAGTTTTGCCGAAGGACTTCTTCCCTGGTGTACCCCCCTGGTGTGCCAAGGAGCATCTTCCTCATCATAATTTATGCTCGGATATCATTCATCCTGTTCCGCTGCTGGCGAGCCATGAGCTTACCCTGCTCTTCACGCGCGTGATATGTCAGAAGCTCTGTGCTGTGTTGGCAGCGGCTCTACACAGATGTGATACATGCATTTGAACCCCTTGCAAATGTATCAACTGGAGCGACAGGCTTAGACCTGCTCCTCTCGCTTTTGCAAGGTGAAGGGACGACGCCGCATAACCTACGACTGTTTGTTGACAGTTCTGCTGCCGGGCTGAACTCGGCTTTTCAGCTTGGAGTCGTGCAGACGGCGGACCATATCTCGGAGTTGCTTCAATACTCCTGCCTCGCATCCTCGAATTCATTTTCAGGCTTGGTGCCTATGGGACCAACGACATCCTGTACCGAGTTCTCGGTGAGGACACGAAGCTTGGCTGAAACTTTTGGTTTAGGAAGCTGCTGGGCGACTAGGGGTGGATTGCTCCTTGCGGACAACCGAGGACCATGCGAGGTCTGCTTTCTCTGATCGATCAGATTTTGGACGTGGTTCCTCGGCTCACCTAAGGCTGAAGAGCATGTGAGTATTTGTTCAAAGTACTCCGGAGTCAGACAGCGTAGTCGCCTTACCAAGCTGCTGAAGTTGTTTTCAGAAGAGAGGTGGCATGAAATGAGAGCCGGAGCTTTCAGTCCGGTACCAATCTCCACTCCGAGTCAAAGACTCCGACGAGCCTGAAGCCAGCCTTGTTGCGCGGTGTAGGACGATCCGCAGAGCCGTTCCACTGTCGAGATGGCAGCTTGCCGTGGAATGGAGGCTTCGGGGCGTCGAGGAGGTCTGCGGATTGAACTTTTGAGAGTGGCGTTCCAAAAACCTGTGACAGCAAGTAGACAGCGAACCTCCGAAGTGGGTGTGCGTGCAAGATTTACCCGATCATCGTATCACTCAGTTTCTTTGCTAGGATCCCATGACCCTGAAAAATTCGGTGAAACATGAGGTGTACCTTCAGCAGAAGCATATCCCTGCAGCTCCGAATATCTCCGAATCATCACCGTGCTCTAGTTTTTGTGGCCCTGCAAAGGCGGAAGCGCTGCCATGTAACGAGTTTTCATCGCATTGTTGTCACGTATACCGCTCATTCCCGCTAGTCAGGTCATGTGTGCGGGGTCTGGGGTGTGGAGCCTTGAGAGTCGTTATGAGTCGAACGCATAATGCCTGGCCCCAATCGTAGTTACATGCGTGGAAGCTTTGTGTAAGAGCTGCTTAACTCGACTTGACCAGCCGAGGTCATATCAGGGTCTTTCGAGACGTTGAACGTCATCAAAGATGCTGTGGCCTACCAGGCCGAACGCGTCTCCTCAATGTCGATTGTTGCACAGATGCTGGGAGTTCAAGACCTGGCTGGCAAACGGATTGGTTGCATAGTTTGCTTTTTCGACGGCTGAAGCTTTTGAAAGCACTTCCAAATCGGAGAGAACATCGAACCTCCGCCCTAGTGCAAAAGTTTGCAGCATGATAGTAAAGTTACCTGTGTCGTTGCCGCCGTTGCCACTCTCACTGTTGCATGCATTCATGTTCCTGTCCTTTGAGCATGTGTGAAGCATCCTTCGCGGATGACCGATTATAAACGACTCTGCGGTATTCGGTCTTCGTGGCGGTGTGAACGCACTGAAAACTGGGGGTTGCCAACCCCCATCTTGCTGTAGGCTTGAATCCCAGTCTTCCCAGATTGGGGCCTCTATTTTGTGAAGCCGTCACATTCCTGAGCAGCGTAATGCTTAACAGGAAACGATGAAGCTCCTGGCATACCTGCTGGTGTTCATGTGCCTGCTGCGACCCGTGGCTGCAAGGCTGAAGGTTGCTCTCGTTGTCCCTTGGTTTTTCCGATTTGTCATGCACGTGAAGTGCAATGTCTGGCCGTCGCGCAGTCTGTGTTTCAAAAGATGAACCCAGGGTCGAGAGGAATCTGTTCTGTTGAGGTCGTGAGCTTCCTCATCTAAGTCTTTTTGGGTTAGCCCTGAAAGTATACCACGGGCGCCACTTCCAGGGTGCACGCGCGCCCGGGTCCAAGGTGCACGCGCTTCTGTGTCCAACCTGCACGCGCAGCGCTGGAAACCTGCGCAGGGCCGAGTCATCCTGCATGCGCCGGGTACGCCCACCCCCCCTCGAAGCCGTGTCCAAGCTTAAAATCCATACCAATGCAGACCAAAGTACTGGAAACCTGCGCAGAGCCGAGTCATCCTGCATGCGCCGGGTACGCCCACCCCCCCTCGAAGCCGTGCCCAGGCTTAAAATCCATGCCAACGCAGACCAAAGTGCTGGAAACCTGCGCAGAGCCGAGTCATCCTGCATGCGCCGGGTACGCCCACCCCCCGTGTCCAAGCTGCACGCGCAGCAAGAAATAAGATAACCGGAATCGCCAAATGAGGGGGTGTGTTTAAGATACAGGATAACCGGAATCGCCAAATGAGACGGTGTGAAGGGGTGTGTTTAAGAAATAAATAACCGGAGTCGCCAAATGAGAGGATGTCTTTAAGATATAGATAACCGGAATCGCCAAAATGAAGGGGGTGTGTTTAAGAAATAAGATAACCGGAATCGCCTAATGAGGGGATGTGTTTAAGATATAGATAGCCGGCATCGCCAAAATGAAGGGGGTGTGTTTAAGAAATAAGATAGCCGGAATCGCCTAATGAGGGGGTGTGTTTAAGAAATAAGATAACCGGAATCGCCTAATGAGGGGGTGTGTTTAAGATATAGATAACCGGAATGGCCAAAATGAAGGGGGTGTGTTTAAGAAATAAGATAACCGGAATCGCCTAATGAGGGGATGTGTTTAAGATATAGATAACCGGAATCGCCAAATGAGACGGTGTGTTTAAGAGGTCAGTCGCCAAATGAGGGGGGTGTGTTTAAGAAATAAGATAACCGGAATCGCCTAATGAGGGGATGTGTTTAAGATATGGATAACCGGAATCGCCAAAATGAAGGGGGTGTGTTTAAGAAATAAGATAACCGGAATCGCCTAATGAGGGGATGTGTTTAAGATATAGATAACCGGAATCGCCAAAATGAAGGGGGTGTGTTTAAGAAATAAGATAACCGGAATCGCCAAATGAGGGGGTGTGTTTCAGATATCGGATAACCGGAATCGCCAAAATGAAGGGGATGTGTTTAAGAAATGAGATAACCGGAATCGCCAAATGAGGGGGTGTGTTTAAGATATAGGATAACCGGTATCGCCAAATGAGACGGTGTGTTTAAGAGGTCAGTCGCCAAATGAAGGGGGTGTGTTTAAGAAATAAGATAACCGGAATCGCCTAATGAGGGGATGTGTTTAAGATATAGATAACCGGAATCGCCAAAATGAAGGGGGTGTGTTTAAGAAATAAGATAACCGGAATCGCCTAATGAGGGGATGTGTTTAAGATATAGATAACCGGAATCGCCAAAATGAAGGGGGTGTGTTTAAGAAATAAGATAACCGGAATCGCCAAATGAGGGGGTGTGTTTAAGATATAGGATAACCGGAATCGCCAAATGAGACGGTGTGTTTAAGAGGTCAGTCGCCAAATCAGGGGGTGTGTTTAAGAAATAAGATAACCGGAATCGCCTAATGAGAGGATGTGTTTAAGATATAGATAACCGGAATCGCCAAAATGAAGGGGGTGTGTTTAAGAAATAAGATCACCGGAATCGCCTAATGAGGGGATGTGTTTAAGATGTAGATAACCGGAATCGCCAAAATGAAGGGGGTGTGTTTAAAAAATAAGATAACCGGAATCGCCAAATGAGGGGGTGTGTTTCAGATATCGGACAACCGGAATCGCCAAATGAGACGGTGTGTTTAAGAGGTCAGTCGCCAAATGAGGGGGTGTGTTTAAGAAATAAGATAACCGGAATCGCCTAATGAGAGGATGTGTTTATGATATAGATAACCGGAATCGCCAAAATGAAAGGGGTGTGTTTAAGAAATAAGATAACCGGAATCGCCTAATGATGGGATGTGTTTAAGATATAGATAACCGGAATCGCCAAAATGAAGGGGGTGTGTTTAAGAAGTAAGATAACCGGAATCACCAAATGAGGGGGTGTGTTTAAGATATAGGATAACCGGAATCGCCAAATGAGACGGTGTGTTTAAGAGGTCAGTCGCCAAATCAGGGGGTGTGTTTAAGAAATAAGATAACCGGAATCGCCAAATGAGGGGGTGTGTTTAAGATATAGATAACCGGAATCGCCAAAATGAAGGGGGTGTGTTTAAGAAATAAGATAGCCGGAATCGCCTAATGAGGGGGTGTGTTTAAGAAATAAGATAACCGGAATCGCCTAATGAGGGGGTGTGTTTAAGATATAGATAACCGGAATGGCCAAAATGAAGGGGGTGTGTTTAAGAAATAAGATAACCGGAATCGCCTAATGAGGGGATGTGTTTAAGATATAGATAACCGGAATCGCCTAAATGAAGGGGGTGTGTTTAAGAAATAAGATAACCGGAATCGCCTAATGAGGGGGTGTGTTTCAGATATCGGATAACCGGAATGGCCAAAATGAAGGGGGTGTGTTTAAGAAATAAGATAACCGGAATCGCCTAATGAGGGGATGTGTTTAGGATATAGATAACCGGAATCGCCAAATGAGACGGTGTGTTTAAGAGGTCAGTCGCCAAATGAGGGGGTGTGTTTAAGAAATAAGATAACCGGAATCGCCTAATGAGGGGATGTGTTTAAGATATAGATAACCGGAATGGCCAAAATGAAGGGGGCGTGTTTAAGAAATAAGATAACCGGAATCGCCTAATGAGGGGATGTGTTTAAGATATAGATAACCGGAATCGCCAAAATGAAGGGGGTGTGTTTAAGAAATAAGATAACCGGAATCGCCAAATGAGGGGATGTGTTTAAGATATATAGATAACCGGAATCGCCAAAATGAAGGGGGTGTGTTTAAGAAATAAGATAACCGGAATCGCCAAATGAGGGGGTGTGTTTAAGATATAGGATAACCGGTATCGCCAAATGAGACGGTGTGTTTAAGAGGTCAGTCGCCAAATCAGGGGGTGTGTTTAAGAAATAAGATAACCGGAATCGCCTAATGAGGGGATGTGTTTAAGATATAGATAACCGGAATCGCCAAATGAGACGGTGTGTTTAAGAGGTCAGTCGCCAAATGAGGGGGTGTGTTTAAGAAATAAGATAACCGGAATCGCCTAATGAGGGGATGTGTTTAAGATATAGATAACCGGAATCGCCAAAATGAAGGGGGTGTGTTTAAGAAATAAGATAGCCGGAATCGCCTAATGAGGGGATGTGTTTAAGATATAGATAACCGGAATCGCCAAAATGAAGGGGGTGTGTTTAAGATATAGGATAACCGGAATCGCCAAATGAGACGGTGTGTTTAAGAGGTCAGTCGCCAAATGAGGGGGTGTGTTTAAGAAATAAGATAACCGGAATCGCCTAATGAGAGGATGTGTTTAAGATATAGATAACGGGAATCGCCAAAATGAAGGGGGTGCGTTTAAGAAATAAGATAACCGGAATCGCCTAATGAGGGGATGTGTTTAAGATATAGATAACCGGAATCGCCAAAATGAAGGGGGTGCGTTTAAGAAATAAGATAACCGGAATCGCCTAATGAGGGGATGTGTTTAAGATATAGATAACCGGAATCGCCTAATGAGGGGGTGTGTTTAAGAAACAAGATAACCGGAATCGCCTAATCAGAGGATGTCTTTAAGATATAGATCACCGGAATCGCCAAAATGAAGGGGGTGTGTTTAAGAAATAAGCTAACCGGAATCGCCTAATGGGGGGATGTCTTTAAGATATAGATAACCGGAATCGCCAAAATGAAGGGGGTGTGTTTAAGAAATAAGATCACCGGAATCACCAAATGAGGGGGTGTGTTCAAGATATAGGATAATCGGAATCGCTAAATGAGGCGGTGTGTATATAGGAAGCGCATATGAGGTCTGTGTGCGCCTTGGACGGTCCGTGTGTGCGCCTTGGACGGTCCAAACCTTCAGCCTAGGGGGCCTAGGACCGTCCAAGGTACACGCGCCTAGGCCGCATCCGCAACCGGAGAAAGCTGTGGTTGAGAACTTTTTTCTGAATCGGAAAGTGCTGAATCCCTAGCAAAAAACAATGAATTGGAAGCCATGTGTGCGCCTTGGACGCGGGAAAGGCTGTGCGCAGACGCGTGCGCCTTGGATGCGGGGACGCGTGCGCCTTGGACGTGCTGGCCGCATACCACCTAGTATTGTTCTCCACGCGCCGCGAACTTTCCTGTGAACCAAGGACTCATTCAATATATGGAGGTCCATCCGCGGGTGGATCTTATTAGCCGCACGGTCATGACAGCTTCTGGTGACATGTTCCACTTCTTTCTCATCTTCTTGCGACTCGTTTGCAACTTGTGGAGCTGGTTCGCTCAAAGCATCTTTGAAGAGTTCGTGAGCCGTCGCCAAGTGCAGCCCGGTCTTTGATTTCTGATGCCGGGGGTCAAGCAAGGCACAAATGAAGTTGTTGGTTCGTGGTTGTCCTATTCGCTCGAATGTCGTCCTAGTCCTGTCCATTCTCAGGATTTTCTTCGCAATTCTGGCCTGGTTGGCTCATTGGTCCTTTGGACCAGACAAGCATCTTGGCGTGGTGCGAGAATCTTGACATGCTTTGAAGCCAAAAGCAATCGAAGAGCTAATGCCACCAGCTGTCAGGGTTATGTTCTCCACGTTCCGCATCTCCGCCAACACCTGCTTTCAGTGCCTTTGCTGAGATTTGAGGGCCTCGGCCTTGAGCAGCTGTAGCACTCGTACTTGCCTGAATCTAGGATGTTGATCGGCGAGTACCCGTTCGAGGACAGTGCCACACCCAAGCTGTAGGAACACCTCAAGTCTGTCCTTTGCTGTTGTGATGGAAGTTCAACTCGCGCTTGTTCGCACTTCTATCCCGTAGCTTGGTGGGATCAGGATGAGTGGACTGAAGGCTGGCTGCAGAAGATTTGGTATATTCTGTCTCTTCGTTTGCAGCCAGAAAAACATCGGTGCCCACGCTGGCGGTCAAATTGCTCGGCCCAGGTACACCTTCCTGCTATTCTTGGTATCCTTAAACATTCTGCTGGCCATCATCGTCGAGAGCTTTCTCAGGGTCAAGCAGGTGGCTGTCAGTGTAGCCTCTCCTGGCACTCATTTACAGGTTTGGCTAGTCTCCAGCTAACGAAGCTTTCGATTTGAATAGTATATCTCAGCAGATTGTTCCTGCCCCCCGGTTCTTTTTCCTCCGCTCTCGCCTTTTCCAAACTGTTTTTGCTGTAGTGCAGGAGACAGAGGGCAGGCTCGAGGTGAAAAGCCTGGTGATGGATGTTCTCGCCCTGCCAGCCAGGGCCCTGGCTGCTTGTGTGGCTGTGGCGTCCCGCGTTTTCATATTGTCATATTACATGACGTCAGAAGCCCTTGTCTAGCAGCTTTGCTCCGAGTTGAAAGCGCTGATGGGCTTCCACCACGGATGGCCGACCACTCGTGCCTTGCGCATCCATTTTGAGGCCAGGAATGGAGACGAGGGCTCAGGTTTCTGCCTCATAGGTTCTCGCAGCACATGCAAGGAGACCGCGCAAATGCACCGGTTCTGCTGTCCTGCAGCCCTCAGGGTTGGAAAATTGAGAGGCCCCCCCCTCCCAACGCCGGCGGAATCGCTTCCTTTTCGACACGAATCTGGGTCCTCAAAGCCTTCAAGTCCTGAGTTCCACCTGCGTCAAAGTCACCAGACTGTAAAGCCTGCAGGCAACGCGATTGTGGAAAGAACCGGTGACTGCAAAGGCCAGCTTCTTCAGCCGGGCTATGGGATTTGGTAAGGTCATCGGCTAGTTCTGCTCCTGGCGCTCGTAAGCATCGGATGCGGGGCTCTCCAAAAGATATGGAGCATATTGATCCAGAATGGACCTTTAAATCTGCTTTGCAGCCGTGTCAGTATGTTGAAGCAAGTTCCGAGATGTAGGAGGCCAGGCCGGGTGAAGGCAAATTCCCTTTGCAAATAGAGGGCCGTGGGTGTAGCAGGAATCCCTTGGGGGAAACCGGCAAGGGAAGGCAGGAGAGGAGGGGAGGGAAGGGAAGGGGAGGGCGGGCGAGGCAGGAGGCAGGAGGGCACGGCAGCAGCGGTTTCAGTTTTATTGGCGTTCCTCCAAAAGAAAGTTTGGTTTTTGGTTGGGCATTTGCCTGGGACGCCAGGGCACGGCGTACCACATCGAACCAAGTATACAAGATCGAAGCCAAATAGGTGCAAGACTTGTTGCATGCGGGTCTGCAGGCGCTATCATGCGAACCATGGGAAGGGGGTGTGGACATCCCGGAGCTAGCACGCACAGAGCTTGGTACTCCGGTGAAACCAACGAAAATCGAGAAGGATTGTTCCGAGATACCCTGGTGGCAGGAATTGGCAAGGTCGCAGCATGCCCACTTCCGCGACAAGGACGCTAGTTGTCCTGGGCTTCGCGACTTGTCGCAGCTCCGCTCATGGCACTTTCAATGATGTCTCGGTGTGGTACAGTGTTTGCCGGAGGAGTCTGCAGCCGAATTCTTGCGGTACAACCACTGGAATCTTGGGTGCACTCGGGGGGGGAGACGCACTTTCCATCTTGCCGCCGCATCCAGAATTTCTTTGCTGGCTCAGGCTCTTGGGATACAATGTCCTCGATGAAAGAGGGCGCCAGTATGAGGATCGTTCTCCGTGCTGTCGCGCAGATAAGCCTTGACATGCCTTTCACATGGCTTGTCCGATGCAGGACTACAAGAAGTTCCTCTGCGAGTTCATTAGCGGAGTCGGAGGCTTAGTTGTTTCATTGCGTGGCTTGGCTTTGAAGGGCAGGCCCACTGGTCAGACAGGAATTGCAGCACTTCTGCAGGCCGGGCGGTGCTCATCCCTCGACTTTGACATGCAGACCTTGCAGCGACAAATCCTCAAGATCCAGCTCTCTGGCCGAGCGGAGCAGGGAGAATGAGGCTTTTTAGTATGCGAGACTATGCCAAGGGCTGCCATCCGTCGCTTCCTTGCTGCGAAGCAGATGGAGAAGAGAAAGAGGCGTGGCCGGGCCGGGATGGCGGATGGCGTCGGGTTCACGAGTCTGTCACGTCGAGTCCCTACAGAGTCGGGTCTCTGGTAGCTCCAGGAGCAGAAGGGGCCGTGGGCCGTCGGATGGGCCGTCGGAGGTGTTGGAGCAGTGGGGTGGAGAGTGAAGATTCGACTCCTCTGCGGTTGTCTGTTCAGGGGAGTTCTTGCGGGATTTCTATCTCACTTTGGTTCGGTACATCGAACCCGTCCGCAAGGCAGAAACTGCGCAGCTTGGATCGACGCCCAGAGGTGGCGTTGCCTGGCTGCAGCTCGCAGCTCGCACTGTGTCTACCGATTGCCGAAAGCCAGGCAGCAATTTCTCTCTCACGTCTCCTTTCTTCCGAAACAAAGCCACTGCCGGCAACTCCACGACCTCCTCTTGCGCATGTCGAATCCTAACTTCTCGAGTCCTGCCAATGCCCACAAGGAAGGGAGTGACCTCAGCCAAGCAGGACTGGTCGGATGCATGTGCGTTACCGGTGCCAAGAGGTCTGATAGGTGTTGTTACATGGGATGCTCGCCGTTTCGGAGGCTGCTTGTTTGAACTTTGGCCCGCCCTCCAGGACTTGACCGATGCTTCGGCCAGCGTCATTCGCGAGTTTGGCCAGCGGCTGCGTGGCGAGGAAGTAAAACAACCCCCATGATGGGACGTTCTGCTGTCTCTGATTATCTGCTTTTTGCTCTTTTCTGTGCCTTGGCTCCTTCTCTCATCCCTGGCTCTGGGCTCTACCTCTCCCCGTCTCCCCTACTTGAAAACTCTACTCCCTCCCCCTCCCTCTCTCTCTCTCTCTCTCTCTCTCTCTCTCTCTCGCTCTCTCTCTCTCTCCTCTCTCCTCTCTCTCTCCTCTCTCTCTCCTCTCTCTCTCTCTCTCTCTCTCTCCTCTCTCTCCTCTGTCTCCTCGCTCTCCTCTCTCTCCTCTGTCTCCTCGCTCTCCTCTCTCTCCTCTGTCTCCTCGCTCTCCTCTCTCTCCTCTCTCTCCTCTCTCTCCTCTCTCTCCTCTCTCTCCTCTCTCTCCTCTCTCTCCTCTCTCTCCTCCCTCTGCCCTTTCGCTTCCTTCTCCTCCCTCAACTCTGTCTCTGTCTCTCCCTGTCTATCTCTGTCTCTCACCCTGTCTCTCTCTGTCTGTCTCTCCCTACCCCCTCTCTCCTCCCTGGGACAGCACTCTCAAGCCCCTTTACCGATGTTCCGAGGCCCGGTTCCTCTAGACAGGCCAAGTCCAGCATGCAGCAGGCACTTAAAGATATCTCAACAGTTCTTGCAACCACATAGATGTTCTTCTTGATATGTCGAAGCATGACCGATACCAGCATGTCGCAGGAATGGAAGCAGGAACTCAGGTTTGATGTTCGACCGGCGTTCACCGAGAGGGGCATGTGTAGGGACAGTGTGCGGTTCTTAGGCAGAACGGGTCCCTGCTTTGCGAGGTTGGGTATCAAACCTTTGATGGTGGCCCCTTGTCTCAATGATTCTCAAAGCCATCTGCCCTTCGTGGGAGAATCGCCCAAGCAACATGCCCGAAGCTTTGGTTTTTGCTGCAGGTTTGGGTCTAGCAGCAGTAGAGCGTTCGCTGTGCCGAGTCCTGTGCAATGTGCCCAGGAAGCTTTGCTGCTCATGCGCACGGAGAGCGTCGCAACGTCAGGCGTCAGATTCCTTTGAGTTTATGTCTGTGCAGGTACCTGACATTCGGCAATGTGCATTGAAGAAGAGCTGTTCCCAACAACCAAGCCTAATCATCTGCCAGTACATCCGTAAATAGCCCGAGTCAACTCACCAAAGGCAGGCTTCCTCCAACGCTCACGCAATGAATGCAGTAGCGTTCGGCTGCGCACCATGCACAAGTCGCTCTGCATAGGTGACCTCAGTGACTGTTCCATCAGTGCGAACGGTTTGCTATAATCTCTGCTGGCGCATCTCAATTCTAGAGTGTCTTAGCCGGTGCCAGGCACGGACACCGAGGAGAATACATGGACTGGTTCGGAGAGTGCTGCTCTAAGCGTATCCGAAAAGCCGGAGCTTGCTTGATTTTTGTGATGAAACGCAGAGGTCCAGCCGCAGTACCGCACCTGCATTCGCGTGTGTAATTTTCACGATTGGTAGTTGAGGTTGCGGTCGTGGTGGTTCTGCTGGTTGTTGTTGTTGTGCAAAACCCAGGCAGGCCAACCCTGGACTGAGGCTTAGCTTCTGCCGATGATGATGGCTCTTCGAAGGATCGCTCCACAGAAAGGCAGGGCAATCATGTAAGCTCTGATGTATCTGGCTCAAGGTGTGGAAAGGAAACCTTGAACGGCTTCCCATTACCAGATTCGGGCTCGTTGGTCTTGTTGTAGGTTGAAAAGTTCCTTTCAGGACACGTGACTCTGCATTTGCGGAATCATCCGGTGGTGCAGAACTCCGAAGTCAAGCAGCCTGCTTGTACCCTAAAGCATGGGTCTGCATCATGAAGCAATTGGAATCGTTTGAAATCTCCACAGGCCTTCGGCGGAAAAGTCCTTGACTCTCTTCGTCTGAGGGCCGTGCTGGATAGCCGGAAGAACTTTGAGCCCAAGCCGTTGCATCTTGGAGTGCCGGTACTTGCAACAAAACTCCACCACTCAACCTAAAGCTTCGTGCCCGTGTATCAGACTTCCGACGGCCCTAGCAAGCTGCAACCGAGAGAGTCCATGAACTCCGGCAGATATGTCTTTCAACAAAGAGACTGGGCAGAAGCAGTGTGTTTCCTTCAGCTTTGAGATGTGTGGTTCAATCCACACAGCTGACTGATATGCAGCCTTGCATCTTTGCGAGGGCTACAAAATGACATGTTGAAAACTCAGATGCTGTAGTGTTGTACTGATGTTTGTTGACATCATGTATCTTTACTGCTATCGGCTGCGATACTGCTGCGTTCGGCAGCCTGCGTTGTACGATCCAGTACCACCTGCTTCGTGGACGAGCCTATGCATGTTTGCAGGTGCAGTTATCACACTGGGATCCGTAGCAACCTTCAAAGTTCGACAGTTCTCGCCACGTGTACACGCTTTGGCCAGGAGCTTCAGAGACAAATTTGAGCTTCCCTGGCGATGTAAACACCACGGCGGTAGTTTTTCCTGTGATCGCGACACGTGGTCGCAAACCACCCCCTTTACACGAAGGATCTGCGAGCTGCGCTTCGGCATTTGTGGCTGTCTGTGCAAACAAAAGAAGCTCCGGACTGCTTCGTTTGAGGATCCGGTATTGGTGAAAGAAGGCACTAAACTGTCGAAGACAGCTTCGCTCGCAGTATTTGGAAAATCAGGATGCCTTGCATCGCAGTCTATGCAGATGCCGGCAAGGCTCAGAGTCAACTGTTAAGATGCCGGTGTGAGCGTTCGGATAGCATGCTTTGGCAGGGGATGTTGTTCAGGAGACTGTGTTGCTGGAGCTGTGCTGCATCCAAGTCTGCTGCGGGCAGCTGATCGGAGCGTAGGAGGTTCCAGCATGCAAACGCAAGGCTGGTGATCGTTCAGCACCTTTCCTGGCTCGACGGATTTTCTTGAACTGAGCTGAAGATGCTGTCTCCTAGAGGTATCGGAAAGGAAACTATGCCTTTGAGGAAGAGACAGGAAGCCAATTCGCTTGGAAGGCACCCCCAACGCGCAAGGTGCAGCGGACACCTTTGGGGAATCCAAGCGGCACCCGAAGTCATGATCGGAACTGGATGCAGCATGTTGAGCGTCTTGCAAACATCCCCTCTGCATCATGTCTTCAGCGGCACAGCCTCGCTGATGCTGCCGCAAGACGATTCGACCATCATCGAAAACAAGGCGTTTTACTCGAGCATGATGCCGTGGCGTTGTGTGGCCATTTCCCGGCTCGGTTTGCTTCCATGTTTGAAGTCCTTCTCGCAGGTCGAGAGACATGACCTCCTGTTGTGCAAATGATTCTCCTTAGAAGTGTAGGGCTAGATGCTTGCAAACAGAGTTGGATGCATTGATGAACCCTGGAAGGGAAGGTCCTCGGAAGACAGTGAGTCATTGTTGACATAAGCTACAGGCCTGGCAAGCAGACTGCGAACTCCGGGAGTTGGTGCCGCATTGCACCTACGACCTCTCGCCGAGGTCCTGTTTGGCTGGCATTGTGAGCCGGATTTGTCCGTCCTTCTCGTGAAAAGGTGGGACTGTGGGTTCAGCTCAATGTCTACACTTTCCGATCCAGTCTTGAGAGGTCAGAGGACCCAAACCAATTAAGCTTCCTGTGGTTAAGGAGGTTCCCGATCGCTGAGCACAGCAGCATCCTTGTGTAGGCTCAGTCGGTGAGAGTTGGCAGTCGCACCTGCAGTCGTGTCTCGACACACTGCAAGGCTGCCCTCAAATGCTACGCTGTCAGATCCCGATCCCGATCCTTAGTATCATGCACAGGATGTGAAATCTGAGACATAGCACGGCACATTCGCAGGATGGAACCAGCTGCAAGAGTCATCTGAGAGGAACGGCCAGAACTTCGTGCGGAACTCGTCACAATAGAAGACGTTGGACAAGTCCTGTTCGTGCCCACAACTACGCCATGGGTATTGACCGAGGTCTTCGCCACGCACGGCCGAGCTGAGCCTGAATCAGTGGTCAGCCCACTTCCATGAGGCCCGAGAGCATGCGTGTGGGCATCCACGGCAGCTTTGCCGTTCGCTTAGCGACGGCCGCCACAGGATGACACAGGCAAGGTGCCTGAGCGGAAGGATGACCTTTGTTTGAGAAACTGTTCGCTGGTATTGCGCAGTGGCCTCGCTGCGTTGGCCCCAACAGGCTTTCGTTCGATGCTTGCAGCATCAGAGATCAACACCTTATCTGTCTTCCTGGGGGCACCAGTTGGAAAGAGCTTGTCGCATCTCGGTTGCTGTAACAGGAACCGGATAGGCTGTGAGCAGCAACAATCCAAAATGCATTGATGGCTTGCTGCCATATATTGCCTTCCCAGACGAGAGGGGCGAAACTTCCTCACTGTAGCTTGTGACTCATAGTCTTCCTAGACAGTCGGAAAGGTTGTGTGATAGACTACGCTGTTTGCTGTTTATTGGGAGGTGCCTTTCCGCATCCTTGTGCGATTTTGTCGACATGTCTTCAGGCTGCTGTAGTATGATGTCAAGGTGTAGCTGGGGTCTTGTCTTTGCAGCCTGCATCTTTGTAGCCTCGTTGGAGAATCGTTGCCATTGTGTGGTCTTCCTGTGGGTCATCGGGAAGGTAAACGTTGAGGAAACGGTTTGGAACTGTTGCTTCGTCAGTGGACACTCAAAGTCAATGTTGAAGCGGAAGCTCCAAGATTGCTCAATGCGCATCGGTTCAAGTGCCGTGGCGCTTGCTCGGACTGGTGTTTTTATTGATCTGCGCAGGGGCCTTAGCCGTTAATTTTCTGAGACATGTTGACCCGCCAGTGTTTCGATCGTCGCATTTTCGTATCTAGGCTATGTCCTGCTGCGTCATGTTGCTTTGCTTCAGGAGAGTCAGCCAGATTTCGCTGCAGTCGATCTCGCGTGAGCCGTTGGTACAGTGCTTGCTCGCGGCACGCGGGAAGATGATAGCCGTGGCGGTTCTGGAACTGTCGATGCAGCAATGCACCTCCTTTTTTTGTACGATCCCTGCTCTGAGGCCATGGCTTTCCGCCGACTGCTACCACGATTGCCCGCGGCGCGCGCGGCGCTGAACTCGGCGGCGAGGCACGGTACGCTGCAGGTTTTGCATCCGACAAGTACAGTTTCTGAAGCCTGCTGCAGCTCTTTGCGGTGAATCGAGAGATGCCGAAATCAAAGTCATGCCTTTCAGCCTACGTTCTCAGGCGCTTGCAATGTATGCTCTGCCAGCTCTACTATACTCATGCCATAATCCAACTTCAATCCCGCCACCCTCAACTCCCTTCAGAACTCTCTCCGGAAAGAACGTTCTGGAGCTCCAGGTCGCTGCATGCCTCGGCTCCAAGGCAACCCGAGATCATAGCGGGACCTTTCCAGGCTGTTTGTGCCGTTGTGCGGGCTGCGGGAGGGGGGCACAGAGGGTCAGGACCTCTAGGCTTGCACTGCACCTGTGGTTGTTGCTTCAAAGCGATGACGTGACGTTTTTGCAGAGGAATGCTGCCAAAGTGAGCCCCGCAGAGCTCACCAAGATCCTTAGTGAGCGCATCGCCAACTTCAAGGACCTGGGGCTGGTGGAAGTGGACAGGGTGTGGAGACATGGAGCGTTCTTCTGATTAAAGTTGGAGTCGTTGAAGCCTCCATTACCTCGGCCTGTTCGCAGGATCAGGCTGATGTGCAAGAAGTTGGTCGCGTTCTCTCTGTGGGCGATGGGATTGCGCGCATTTACGGCCTCAAGGGTGTGAAGGCCGCAAGCTTGTGCAGTAGTTCATTCAGATCAGCAACACAAGCTCGGAGGAATGAGATGTAGAAGCATGACTTTGGCTTCGGGTTCTGCACGTCGAGGTCAAGCTGAGGTTGAGGGAGGCTAGAAACCCAGGCTTGGATTGTAGACTGGAAGTTAATCGTTTCGTTGTCAGGTAACATAGTGGTGGACAGGAGACGGCATCATCCGAAGTTCTTGAGGCTCACGTATGATGTCAGGATATATCTCCAGTGGGGACATAAAGCTCCACAGCCTTACTTTCGCATTTGCGCCGTTGCACCGTGCAGGCAGGCGAAATGGTTGAGTTCTCGAGCGGCCTGAAGGGCATGGCGCTGAACTTGGACGCTTGCCGTGCAGTAAAGGCTCACATGCCCGAAGACCTGTTTCAGGTTTGTTCTTTGCTTTGTTGCAGTAAGGGTTGTCGTTAAGCAACGATGCCTGTGACGATCGCAGGGGCGAAATCCTTGTCAAACACACATTCTCCAAGTAGACTCACATACACTTCACGGTTCGATTCCCTTTAATTTGTACATCATTTCGCTTCAACGCTGTTCTATGGAAGGGTCTATTCAGGTACGGGTGCTGGAGCGGAGACTAGAGAGATTGTCTAGGCCCTAGGCTTCGATAGGAAGAGGGGCAGAGGTAAAGCAAGGAGGGACGGACCGAAGGACAAGGAGGGAAGCAATGAATTTGGAAGAGACTCCAAGCAGCAACCCTTTACCGAACATGCAGACGGCCCACAATTATTTCAACGGGGTCCTGAAGCGGTCCCGGATGTTGCTTCCCAAACATTTGCGCTATCGGAACGCCGAGCAGCCGCAAGCTGGTTTTGACCCGCTGCGGCCTCGAGGTGTTCGTGTCCACTTTTCCCGCACTAGGTCAGCAAAAAGGAAACAGGCACCGATTTTGCCCACCCGGAAATGGGTCTAAGCATACGATTTTGCTGGCAACAATCAGGAACTTGATACCGGATGCAACGAGGCTTGAAGTGTCAACATAGTGGGGCAGAACAAAGACAGACTGCTAATGACAAGAAGAACAGCCTGGAGCAGCCTGCTGCCTTTCGGTTGAAAATGGTGGCAGCTAGGTTCATTAGCGGGGATTTCGCACGTACCATCTGAGGACATGTAATGTCAAAAAATGGGGAGTAAACACTGTCACAACATACATGGTGTAAGCCGATTGGGAGGCATGCGGACGTGAAATCTCAAATGTCAGGATTTCAACTCCAGGACTTTTTCGGGACGAGGATGTAAACGACCGAGTATCTTCGGTTTTGAGGGTGGGCGGTTGGGTGGGATGGGTCTGTGTGTGGGTTCCGACGAATTACCTATATAATACATCGTGTATACATATATATATATATATATGTATACATATATACATACACACTCACACTTCAGCACACATCATATATGCATGGATGTTTATGGAGGAGGACCTCAGAGAACGGTTCTCCGTGCATTCTGCAGTTTCTACAGACATGCAGATATTATGGTGTTTTCTTCTGATTGAGAGGTGATCGAGATGGCTGTAGTGTGAAGTTTTCACCGAGCTTTTGCATCGAGACTTCGATGAATGTTCCACCCCTCAGATGCTACGTCAGCCCTCTGCATGCAATCTGTCCCGTGAAGCCGGCAGCCTGTCGCTCTAAGGAAACCGACAACGTCGGAGTGGTGGTTTTCGGCGATGACCGAGCCATTGTCGAAGGTTTCTTGGCCAGATGCGACTTATGGAGTTCGATGTTGTTGGCATTTGGGCGACAACAACTCGAGAACCTTTGCGGCAGGTGACAGCGTCAAGTGCACCGGAACCATTGTGGATGTCCCCATCGGCGAGGAACTGTCGGCACCTGTGTGGGAGGAATGCACATGTAGTTTCTCTTACTGGGTAGCTCGTACCTTCTTCCCGAAAGACTGCGTCTGTATCTCCAAGGCTGGGCCGCGTTGTGGATGCCCTTGGCACGCCTATCGATGGCGCCGGGCCGATCCAGACAAAGAGCCGCCGCCGAGTAGAGCTCAAGGTCCGACGCTGCTTCGTCGTCCTGAAGTCCATGCAACGTGAGCTGGTGAGCCTGGAGAGAGCGACATGCAACGGTAGTGTGCCTGTTCGCAGGCTCCTGGCATCATTCCCCGGCAAAGCGTGCACGAGCCCATGACAGACGGGGTACAAATGCTTGCATGCGTATGGCGTATGGTTTGGTTTAATCAACTTGCGATTCTCTGAACGAGTGGCCAGGTCCGCATGGAGAAGCGTGGGAAACTGTGTGCCCTGGGCAGGACCACTGGCCTGAAGGCTGTCGACAGCCTGATCCCAATCGGCCGTGGCCAGCGAGAGCTGATCATCGGCGATCGCCAGACTGGCAAGACCGCTATCGCTATCGACACAATCCTCAATCAGAAGGCTCACGATTGATCGCATCCAAAAGCCCGAAGCAGATGCAAGAGGCAGTGGATGGCTGTACTCAGCTCAGTTTAGGCCATCAACGCCTCGGCTGACAAGACGGCCCACCTGTACTGCATCTACGTGGCAGTAGGACGCTGCTGCGGAAGAAACAAAGAAGTTGGACCGCTTTCTCACATTGCATTCGGATTTTGGGTCATGACGAGCTTGAATTTCGTGCATGATTTATACTCTTAGAGCGAACGCAGTACAAGGCTCTCTTCATTTCTTACATGTCTTTCCCATTCTTGAAGGGTACTGGTACTGAATGGAATGATCGAAAGAATTGGCCACATGAAACGAAGCTCAGCTGATTCGCCAGTTACTGCTATGTCCCTGTGTCGTTCATGTTCTGTCTTAAATAAATGTAAACATAATCATAAAGATGGTGTGCCGTCATCGAAGATCTTGAGTTCTTGCAGTTCGCTTCATCATGCTATCTTCATTCGGCAAAGCACGCTACGCTTCCATTCACTTCTTTGTTTTTGTGTGCATGATTCTACCCGCAGTCTTGGTTCTCGCAGGACAAAAGCGATCCACCGTGGCTCAGCTCTTCGAGATCCTGAGAAAGAACGTGGCTTGACTGACCCAGAGCAAGTGGCGATCTACCTGGAAAGACAAGGGATGCCCATATCGGTTACTGCTTTACCTTGTCTCGCGGAGGTCAAGCAACATGTGGATGCGCTAGCCCACGAGTAAGGTTCTAGCTTAAAGCCCAAAACAGTGCTGTGGCGTTGGCAGGATTGCTTGAAGTACACCACGGTCGTGGCTGCAACTGCTTCTGATGTCCGCCGCACAGAGCTTGTGCTGCCTGTGCAACGCATTCGGCAGCATTGGGGAGAGCAGCGTCGCAGAAGCCGGGCAAGAGTTGTACCCCGTCCCGTGCTGCAGAACTCATATCATGAGTGACCTGCTGTACCGCTGCTGGTGCCTGTGCCCCTGCCACGAGATCCCAGGCCGCACCTTTGCAGTTCCTCGCGCCCTACACGGGCTGCGCCATGGCAGAGTACTTCCGCGACAATGGCAAACATGCGGCCTGGGTACCCAGATCGAGGGTTTGGTAGAGGCTACAAATTCGGTTCGCAGTCTCGGGGCCTTATTATCTACGGGAGAAGTGCACACAGGTCATCTTCTACGACGATCTCTCCAAGCAGGCCGTCGCATATCGCGGCTTGGCTCTGTACGGACTTGAGCGAACAAGCCAATGAAACAGAGTGTCTTTTCAGAGTGTTTTGCTTTCCATCTGTGAGAGTCGATCGACTCCGAGCGGATCAAGGTCAAATGTCCTTGCTGTTGCGACGCCCGCCGGGTCGTGAGGCGTACCCAGGCGCCTCGGTGCCTGTGAGTCGACGCGTCCGAAATTGTTGTCGCATTGGAATTGCAGGCGATGTCTTCTACCTTCACAGCCGATTGCTGGAGCGTGCCGCCAAGATGAACGAGGCTTGGAAACACCATGTTTTCAAGGAGTTCCCACGGCCGGAAGATGTAGGAGGAGGACCCGCCGTACTTTCGTTGTCGAGTGCTGCTTATTTGCTGGCCTTGGCAGACTACACACGGTGGCGGCTCTCTGACGGCCCTGCCCGTCATTGAGACGCAAGCCGGCGACGTGAGCGCCTACATCCCGACGAATGCAGCTTGTCGGGAAGACCAGAATGTTGTCCCGGGGGGTGAGTCTAAGATTTCGGCCACTTGACGGGGTGACCGGATCGCGGTAACAACTTTGGAGACGTCCGCTTCGCGAGAAACCAGACTCCGGATTTTCGGCGGAATGCAAAAGCTCAGGTCATCTCCATTACCGACGGTCAGATCTTCCTCGAAACGGAGCTTTTCTACAAGGCGCGATGGCTTGAACCTCTAGCCGTGTCATTGCTGTTTGAAAGGCTGAACCCTACCTCCCCCAGTTCGCAATCCAAAAGCAGCCCTCCAAAGACAGCCCTCACTAACGGATGTACCAGTACTGAAGCGATCCGCCCCCACTGGTTCTGCCCTTCCAGGCATCTCTGGTTTGTTGCGAATTGCTTGTAACGCAGGCATGGATGTCTCTCTGTGTGTGTGTGTGTCATGCCATGAATAGAACTGAAATGTTTCTTTGACAAGACTTCCCTGCGCTTCTTGGCAGACATGCAGGCATGGGCCGCACGAAGTGAGAACACCATGAGTTCTCAGCAGGAGGCTTCCACACTTGTTAGGAATCCTTAGCAACGTGAAATATAGTAGCAAGCCTCATGGAACAGGTGTTTGAATTGTCTTTTGTACCCTGCGCTGTGGTATGAAACGGTGTTTCCTTTTTGCAGGCTTACTGCCATGTTCTAAACAGAGTGCGAGCCCCTGTATGCTCCATGATTGCATCTCGTCCAGTTGTGGATGTGTAAAATTACTCATATGCCCAATCTATTTTGCACATGGTTGAACCAAGCATGAGATCGGGTGAATTGCGGTCTAAGGTTTAAACAATGTACAACTAGATTGGACCCAGCGATGGGATTGGACAACTGCGTAGTTGGATAGGGAAACGGAAGCTGTCTCCAAGACACCTTCTGATCAGGGTATCCGCCCGGCGGTCAATGTCGGCCTGTCCGTGAGTCGCAGCACGGATGCAAGTGGTTCGATGGGCACAGACTAGTTGGACCGGTGTCTCTCGAGTATCGGGTTGGGGACGTTGGGCGCTCCTTTCGGCTCTTGTGTGGTGCTGTGCTGCCTTGGACCGCAGCTTTGCTTGGCCGCTTCGCCTCTGTCTCGTGCTCAGCTCAGGCGTCGGCAGCGCCGCCCAGATCAAAGCAATGAAACAGGCTTGCTTTAGAGTCCTGCGTTGCAGACAACATCAGCTCGGCTGTCTTGTTGTAGCCTAGTTGGGTTGTTGGAAACAAGGGAGTCTTGCGACCATAGAGACAATGGTCGAGATGATCCGTCAGAGCCTGCGATTAGCGGGACACTGCAGCACAGCAGGTGGCTGGTACCTTGAAGCTCGAGCTCGCGCAGTACCGCGAGGTTGCAGGGTCTCGGGGTGGTTTCAAGACTTAGGTTTGGGTTCAAATGGACTCCGAGTCTGACGCATGTGCGTTCGTTGCACCTATCACCTCATTGCTCCACAACAGTATTATTTACGTGCGGCCCACGGCCTACGGCCCGCGGCCAGGGGTGCGGTCATGCGGCCTCGTGGCCACGGTCGACAGTTGAGCCGTGGTCTGGTCCGCGCGCGCGGCTCCCCTCATTTGGCAATTCCGGTTCATCATAGATCTTACACATGCCCCTCATTTGGCGAGTGCGGTTCATCATACATCGACCCGCTCATTTGGCAATTCCGGTTCATGATAGATGTTCATTCCCCATCATCAGCATCATCATCATCTATTTCATCTCAAACGCGTGCCCTCTTTTGGCATGTCCGGTTCATCATATCCGGTTCATCATATTTGGGCTAGCGTCTGGCGTTGCCGCCCCCCCCTCCCCGGCCCCGCCAACGGTATGGTCTGGTAGGGTGAGGGGGAGGGCTGGCGTGTGCGGAGAGGGCTCGGGGCTGTTGGCGGGGTCACAGAGACGGCCGCGATTTTGCGCAAGCTTTGTGCAAGCCATAAACCCCATAACGCAGCGCATGCTCCTGTTTTTATTAACCTTATCATGTACTTCAAAACCCTACACCCAACCCCAAACCCGGCCGAAATGCAGGCTCTAAGCCTAAAGCAGAACATAAAGCGCCAACCCTAACGAACCTACCGAAACCCTTCCCAAGCCCTTGTCGACTCGAAGCCTTCTACCCTGAACCCGTTCAACAAAAAACTAAACCCAAAACTCCAAATCTTAGCTAAACCCAAAACCACCAAAACCCACAACCACCTACAGGGCGAAGAGGGACACCATACCCCACCCCAAAGGATTGGAGGAGGCATCCTGGACCATAGGGGGGGGGAGTCGCAGAGCGCGTGACCATGTATCTTAAAGCCTCCCCCACCCTTGGCGAGTCGGGTTCATCGTATATCTTAAACACACCCCCTCCTTTTGCGATTCCGGTTCATCATATAGCTTAAACACGCCCCCTCGTTGGGCGATACCGGCTCATCATATCTCTCATAAACATGTCCCTTCATTAGGCGCTTCAGGTTCATCATATAGTAAACCCCCAAAAGTTGGAAACCGGATTGAGGACAATTAGTGCTGGGATTCCCTACACATTACTCGTGAGGACTGAGGCTTCTGGGTTTCCAACTCTTGGGCTTCTACTGCACATCTTGAGAATCCTCTTATTTGGCGATTCCGGTTTATCATATAACTCAGATCTTAAACACGCCCCTCATCTGGCGATACCGGTTCAGCATGGATCTGAACTTCAACACTCCCTCTCATTTGGCGATCCCGTTTCATCATAAGATCTTGAACACGCCCCCTCATGTGGCGATTCCGGTTGGTCATAGATCTTAAAACACGCCTCCAGTTGGTCATATATTTCACACGCTGATCATATTGTATCTTTAAACCAGCCCATTCCTGATCATTAGGTATCTTAAACACACCCTCTCTTTTTTTGCGATTTCTGATCATCAAATGTCTTACACGTGCTCCCCTCATTTGGCGATTCTGGTTCATCATGCTATTATCGTGTAAGCACGCTGCCCGCGGCCACCTGCGTACGCACTTCGCGGCTCGCGCGGCCTGTGGCCGCGAGGTCATGCGGCGCCTTTTTTCACACGACGACGGTTCCATGTTTCTCTTCTGCAGGTCGCCGCCTTCGCGCAGTTCGGCTCGGACTTGGATGCGGCTACTCAGCACCAGCTGCTGCGAGGCCTCACTTCAACAGTTGAGTTTCGAGTCAACAATTCTTTCCGTAGGAACACTCTCCAATGTGACGGAAAGTCTTAAGGTCATGCCTTCCGTTTTTTATGAGCTCTACTTAAAGCCTTCCACTGCCAGCGAAGTCCAACTCGAAAGCAGGATTCCCCTTTCATTGTCGTTACTGGCTTTGCGTGGCCAACCAGACCTGTGTAGCGACTTGCTGTTTTTGCCCGAGCATTCACTATTGTCGTATCCGTCCGTTTTGCAGGCAAGCTGCAAGACTCTGCGGCGTTTGCTCAACATGAAGTACTTCCTCACAAGTCTGCAGAGGGCATTGACAGAAACCCTTGTAAAAGACAATTTATACTGTGTACAGATTGCTCACTTCGCAACTCTGGCGCCGCTGTTCCTTTGATTCCGTTTCTTTTCGTAGAAGCCCGGCTGGCTGAGAGGTGGTATTCTCACGGAGCTGCTGAAGCAGAAGCAGCCCACAACTCAGAAAGCAAATGAGACGCCATGGCGACTCGAAACGGCTGGATGTAGGACGGGTCTGCAAAGCCGCCAGATGAGATGAAGTTTCACATGCTTGAACAATGTCTTTACACCAGGTTCGTGCCTATGACCACTGCAGAGATTATCGTGTCCCTGTGGGCGGGTACCCGCGGCTACCTGGACAAGGCCTTGTCAGTTTTCCTTCAACGGTAACATTCGTTCGTGCATGCACGTGCCTTCAAGGTTGCATGTTTGTTTGTTATGATTGTTCTGCGGATGCAAGCGCCGTGGTCGTGACATTGTAGAGAAAGATACTCAAGTACCACACAGGGAAACTAATGCCTCTCGGGCAGCCGCCGTGCCTTCAAGTTGGGGTCTGCAGCGAAACAGGTCGCCACGAAGGAGATCCTCCGCTTTGAAAATTTGTGGCTGAAGCACTTCAAGGACACGAAGGGCGATGTCCTCAAGGCCTGAGGGGCGAGAGGGGTTGCTAGACCGTCTGCACTTCGACCAGACTTGCAGAGCTTTTACCCATCCCACCACCACCCAACAGATTCGGTCCTAAGCTAACGGACGTGCGCTTCCATCCCCATTTTTGCACAGCAATGCTAGCAGGCTTTCGTACAACTGCACAGGAGATTATGGAGAAGAAGCAGATCACCCCAGAGATTGAAGGCAGCATCAAGTCTGCGATGGACGAGTCCACGCCTTACACTGAAATGAAACCAAGAGGTCAGTCTCCAGCGCATGCTTCCACCATCGACGGGCTATTACTTTGCACGCAGAGTTTGCAAATGAAAGGTCGACACTCACATACGAGCCCTTTGCTTTCTTAGTTTGCTTTGCTGCCTCTGGATTCCCTAAAAAAGGCAGCCGAAAAAAAACAAAGCCATGCGGCCATGCCCTCACCTCCGGTCCGGTCCGGTCTGTGAGGTTCCTTGGCATGAACGAGTTCGAGGGACGCGCCGCATAAAGACCAAGCATCCGAAAAACAGGCCGGGGGGCGATCGAGAGCCAAGTGTCCACCTGCAAGTCATGGGCAGTGTCGAAGCGAGACTTACAGCAAGTCCTTCCCTGAAGAGGAACACTGGCCTCCCAAGCCGACCGAAAAGCCAGAGCCGTACTGGCAGGAGTGAGCTGACTGCCTCCTGGATGAGTGCCTGCTTCTAGCTTCACGCCCCACTGAAGACCCACAAAGTCACACGCATTTGCATGACCTGTTTAAGCATGATATCATGCGTCCAAGTCCCACAGGTAGTAGCTCCTAGCATACAGGTGCTTAGATCGACGATTTCAGCTGCTTGAATATGTGGACTCCTGTTCCAAAACGAGACGCTTTCAGGCACTGAATTTCGGGGGCTGGGTGTCCCAATCTGTTCGAAGCAGCTCCGCCCATCTATTTGCGCATGTACAAGATTGGGACATCTGTTTTGGATCCCCAGATGGGATCGTTTTCTTTTTGGCTAAATAGAAGGTACAACTCCAGCTCCAATATTCAACCCACTTTGAGATGCAGTGTTTTGCTGTTTAACTTTCGTTATGGCTTTAGCGTAGACTGGGCGAGCGGCCTTGAAAAGAAGCGTTGCAGAGAGACCCTGTGCTACAGTCGACAAGTGCTTGACGTTTGCGTCCGTAGCGTGTACCGCACAGTTAGAGGCATAGGCTGTAAACTGCACCGAGCGATGCCTTTGAGCCCGGTCAGGCGGTCAAGCTGTGTCAAGATGGACAGATGAGCAGAGCCCGAAGGTGCACTGTCACCGCGACTGGAAAGAATGCTTGAGTTTGCCATGGAGCCAACAAACTTTGCAGTGCACGCCAAGCAATTCTGAAGGTCCTGCCCAAAGCTGCATCCGTCGTACTCTTTGCGAATCTTGTGCAGATTTGCCCCGACTCCAAGAGATTCGTCAGAGCAATTTGTCCAGCATGAACACAGTTGTCCCGAACTTCTCACATTGTCGAGTGCTCCAATTCGGGGAGGGTGATGGCAAACTCCTGAGGCTGGCACAAATTCCATGTTCCTTGCTGTATTACGGAAGCGTAGAAGGTTTCGAAACTTTTAAAATTAGGATATGATGAAATTTCTTAATAATTTTTAAAGTAAATCTGAAATCATATTAGGAGATAAATATCCATAATACTATAATTCTTAGGATTCTAAAAAATAAATAGATAAAATATTTTTATGA